AAGATGTTCCGCTGACATAAAGTACAAAGAGTATATTGAATCAGTCTACAGCTACCATTTGTCGTTTCTTTGAATATTGCTGCCAATCTGGTCTGGTGCTCCTGCTATATATTTAATGATTCTTGATAAAATCCAAAGAAGAATATGCAATGTTATTGGTCCTGATCTAGCATCTTGGCTTCAGTCCTAATTACCATCCCCGACCCATGCTTTTTCTTGTCTGTTTTTCCCTCTACTCGACTTGTGAGTATTAGATTCTCCACGCCCATCCTTTCTCATTACGTGTCCCAGTAATTTCATCTGCCTCTTCCTTATGTTAAGTGGTTAATGATATAAACATCCTTTTCGTTTCTGTTTTCCTTAAAACTTCCTCGTTACTCGCATGTGCAGTTTATGGTATTCTCAACATCCTTCAGTGTCGAAAAACACCGCAAATTGCTACAGAAACCAAACATTATCTTCAAAACACGAGTCCTGTTCTTAAATAACCTTGTCAGATCGAGGCTCGCATATGGATGTCATACATAGAGCCGAACACTTTCAGAAATATCTAAACTGTCAGCTGTATCAGATCAATGATTAAAAATGTCAATGTAAATTATTATTATTATTATTATTATTATTATTATTATCATCATTATTATTATTATTATACAATGTAATTATTATTTTATTTCAATGTGATAAATTATTTACGTCTAAAGAATATTTTTTTTTTTTTTGGACTTTTTCTTTCAGATTTAACAACTTAAGTCTTTGGCAATTTCAACCATGGAAAGATTAACAATCAAACAACATGTTAAAGTTATCGAAGCCTATTACGAAAATGGACGTTCAAACAGAAATGCAATGATAAGTTCCCAGGTCACATCATCTCTCAAAACAGCGAAGTCAATTGTCCACCACTACTTGACGCCTTGAGATTTCTTCCTTTGTGGTCATCTCAAAAGTAAGCCAACAACAATTCAACAGCTGAAGGATGAGATAATAAGGCATATTGGTGAGATCGAGGATCAACTATGCTGAGTCATCATCAAAAATTTTAACCATCGAGTGGAGGTGTGCCGCCGAAGTCTTAGCGGACATTTGGACGATATTATTTTTCACACATAATTGTCATGACTTAAAAAAACATAATCCAACAGAGAAGTAATTAAATTTTCAACAATAACACTGATTTATTTACTGCTGACTTTGATCCGTCTTAATGAAACACCCTTTATTACCATTACTATCACCATTCTGCAGAACGACATCTCTGTTGCCACAGGATTCTTCTTCGTCTGTGAGAAAATTGTCCAGCATTCACCACCATTGAAGAGAAACCTGCGTATATGAAAAAATGAAAAGTATTGTAAATAAATGTTTATTGATATCGTCTTCGTTCGTTTCAGGCCTGAATAGAAACAGATGGAAATATCAGGTTGGTTAGCTTAATCCATCACAGGGCCAATTAGAGACGGAAGATGAGGAAACTAGTGTGTCAGCTTTCCAAGTGGGGTTTCCCTGCTTACATTTCAAGACTATCTCTTTCTTTCGTTCTTTTATATTATCTAGCCTTCTTCCTTTATATATATATATATATATATATATATATATATATATATATATATATATATATTCTAGGTTTTTACTTGTTGTGTAAGTTTTTCGTTCATTTTCAAAATTTATCGTTTTATTTATTTGTATCTTTTATTTAATTTTTTTTGTCCAATTTAATTTTACATATCCCATTTTTTTTTCGTTTTTCTTTCCATTGTAACTTTATACTTATTTTATCAAGCTTTCTTTCTCCTTACAGATATATATATATATATATATATATATATATATATATCCCCTTCTTTCTTGAAATTTTTCTTTCATTCGCATAAATTTTTCTCTCTTTCATTCCTTTTTCTTTCTTTCTTTTTTCTTTTTTCATTCTTGCTTTCTTTTTTGTCTTATCTTCTTTCTTTAATTTTACTTTCTCGTATTTCTTTCTTTAATTCTTTTATTCTAAATTCTTTCATTTTTAATTCGCAAGACTCTTTCTTTCTATCTTTCTTTCTTTCTATCTTTCTTTCATTTTTCTATATTTATTTATTTGTTATACCCATCTTTTGTTTTTCAATTTTCATTCGTGTAACATTGTGTCTTTATTTTTTTTATATTTTATCATGTTTTATTTTTATCTGACAGATTCTTTTTTTTTTCATTTTTCATTCAACCACTTACCCTTACTTTTATTCGCTTAAGTATTTTTCCTTCTTTCTTTTTTCTTTTTTTCTTTCTTTATTCTTTCTAATATACCATCTCTTTCGTTTTTCATTCGAGTAAATTTTTCTTTCTTTCTTTCTTTTTTCTATCTTTCTTTCTATCTTTCTTTGTTTCATTCTTTCTATCTTTCTTTCTTTCTATCTTTCTTTCTTTCTATGTTTGTTTTTTTCTTTCTATCTTTCTTTCTTTCTATCTTTCTTTCTTTCTTTCTATCTTTCTATCTTTCTTTCTTTCTATCTTTCTTTCTTTCTATCTTTCTTTCTTTCTTTCTATCTTTGTTTCTTTCTTTCTTTCTATCTTTCTTTCTTTCTTTCTTTCTATCTTTCTTTCTATGTTTGTTTCTTTTTTCTTTCTATCTTTCTTTCTTTCTATCTTTTTATCTTTCTTTGTTTCTTTCTATCTTTCTTTCTATCTATCTTTCTTTCTATCTTTCTTTCTATGTTTCTTTCTTTTTTTGTATCTATCTTTCTTTCTTTCTTTCTATCTTTCTTTCTTTCTTTCTTTCTTATTCCCCATCTTTTTTAATTTTTTATTCGAGTAATTTTCTTTATTTTATTTAGTCCTAATTTTTTTACATATCCCTATATTTCTCATTTTTTTTTCAACCGCGTAATGTTTCGTCCATTCGCTTAAGTGTTTTTCTCTCTTTCCTTTTTCTTTTTTACTTTCTCTTTCTTTTTTTATTTCTTTCTTTCATTCTTATATCGATCATTCTTCCATTTTTCATTCATGTAGCTATCTTTCTTTTCTTTTCTTTTATCTTGTCTTATTTTTTCTTACATATCGCCATGTTTTTCATTTTTCTTCCAGCCGCGTAACGTTTCGTTACTTTCGGTTATGTGATGTTTACATTCTTTCTTTCTTTCATTCTTTCTTTCATTCTTTCTTTCTTTCTTTCATTCTTTCTTTCTTTCTTATATCCAATCTTCTTTCTTTCATTTTTCATTCGCGTAACTTTTCATTCTTTATTTCTTATACCCCATCATTCTTTCTTTCTTTTTTCTTTTCTATACCCCATTATTCTTTCTTTCTTTCTTTTTTTTCTTCTGCATAATCCATCATTGTTTTCATTTATCATTCGCGTAACTCTATCTTTCTTTCTTTCTTTCTTTCTTTTCTTTTATCTTGTCTTATTTTTCTTACATAGTCCCATGTTTTCATTTAGATGCATAAGGTTTCATTCATTCACTTAAGTGTTTTATATCTTTCCTTTTGCTTTCTTCCTTTCTATCTTTGTACTCCGTACTTTTTTCTTTCTTTCTTTTTTCCTTTCTTTCTTTCTTTCTTTCTTTCTTTCTTTCTTTCTTGTACCTCATTTTTTTTCATTTTTCAGGCTCTTAGCTTTACCTTTCCTTCATTTCTTTCTTTATTTATTTCTTATACTCCATCATTCTATCTATCTACTATCTATCTATTTATCTATCTATCTTTTATTTCTTTCTTTCTTATAAACCATCATTGCTTTCATTTATCATTCGAGTAACTCTTTCTTTCTTTCTTTCTTTATTTTATTTTATCTTGTCTTATTTTTCTTACAGTCCCATGTTTTCATTTAGATGCATAGAGTTTCATTCATTCACTTAAGTGTTTTCTTTCTTTCCCTCTCTGTATCTCTTTCTTCTTTCTTTCTTTCTTTCTTTCTTTCTTATACTTCAGCTTTCTTTCATTTTTCATTCGAGAATTTTTTCTTTTCTTTTGTTTTATATTGTCTTATTTTTTTCCTAATGCATTCCCATGTTTTTCATTTTTCATTTAACCGCGTAACATTTCCTTCATTCGCTTAAGTGGTCTCTCTCTCTCTCTCTCTCTCTCTCTCTCTCTCTCTCTCTCTCTCTCTCTCTCTCGCCCGGCTTTCTTTTTCTTTCTTTTTTCTTTCTTAAACACCATTTTCTTTCTTTTATTCAGCATTAGTGTAACTCTTTGTTTCATTCTCGTTCTTTCTTTCTTTCTTTCTTTCTTTCTTTCTTTCTTTCTTTCTTTCTTATAACCCATCATTGTTTTCAGTTATCGTTCGCGTAACTTTCTTTATTTCTTTCGTTCTTTCTTTTGCTTTATTTTATGCTGTCCTTTTTTTTAACATATCTCCATGTTTTTCATTTTTCATTCAATCGCGTAACGTTTCCTTCATTCGTTTAATTGGTTTCTTTCTTTCTTTCTTTCTTTGCATTACTTTGTTTTTTCTTTCATTATATATTCCTTTTCCCTTTCTTTTATGTCTTCTTTCTTTCTTTCTTATCGTCTTCTTTCTTTCTTTCTTTTTTTATTCCTTTTCCCATTCTTTTATGTCTTCTTTCTTTCTTTCTTTCTTTCTTTCTTTCTTTCTTCCTTTCTTTCTTTCTTTAAAGGACGTAAAAAAAAGTCCATTTTTATTTCTGAAATATCATTGTTCGCATTTATTTTTATTTATTTATTTTGGGAATGACACATTTAAAGAAACCGTAGGGCATCGTCTCAACTTGAAACCTAATCGACATTTTCTCCGAAACAAGAAAAGTCGCCCTGGAGTGCGCTCCGCTGATTATCATCCAGTTAATCTCTTCCTCCAAGCGAAATATATCTTCGGCCTGACTGGTTGTTCAGGTCGAACTTAACCAGACAAACACTTACAAATTCAGAAAAAAAAAAAAGCCACACCCAAAATCAACCTCACCGTTGGAACAATTGATATCGTTAAAAAGATTTCCATCTTTTAATCATCGTGTCAGATCGATAACTCTCCTTAGTCCATTTCCGTAAAAGCTTACGTCCATATAACTTTAAAACACCGGTTCTCGTACGGCCACAGAGGTTAAGCAACGTCGAGCCTGGTTAGTACGTAAACGGGTAATCTCTTGGGAATACCAGATGCCGTTAGCTTGGATGTGCGGGTCGTTTAATTGATAATGGCTCGGAATTGGACGTCAAAGAGTCAAGTTTCAATTCTAGTTCAGTTTCTTTTATTGACTTACGCGCAAATACACTTGGCTAAGGCATGAATCCACCTCTTCCCCCTTCCTCAACATTACGGCCACATCACTTTAAAACACCAGTTCTCGTCCGATCATCGAAGTTAAGCAACGCAGTTGCCTGGTCAGTGCTTAAATGGGTGACCGATTGGGAATACCAGGTGCTATGAACGTGGATGTGTGGGTGGTCTAATAAATAACGGTTCGGAATTGGAGATCGGGATAACTAGTTCCAATTCGAGTCGTTATATTCACTTTCGCACAAATAACCTTAGGAAAGGTACAAATTCATATCATCTTCCGCCATCTATGGGTTAATTAGTCGGACTTGTATCTGCAAATCATTATCTCATTATTTGGCAAACCTCATTAAGGGCAAAATGATTGATGTAATCTAAAAATATTTCTTGGCTTTAAATAAGCTACAAAAGGTAGATAGGTCGTAAAAAAAAACAACTCAACCCATTTTCTATTACTTAGATTACAATCAATCGTTCATGGATAGCTTTGTTTTCTATGCATTTTTATGCTTTTTTTCTTGGTGGTTTATACTGCAGTCACATCTTAGTCACAGATTCTCAGACAGGACGCATAATCTAGCGTGATCAGTGCTTGAAGAAGGCCTGTAGAATTAGAGTTATGCTAACCCAACCCGAGCGCAAACCCATCGGTGACTTATGACATTGTGCTAGCAAAACCATCACCGAACAGTATCGTCTACCCAATTTCACTCACAAAACTTAGCCAACTCCTAAAAAGACATAGCATTGGTAATTTACAGATAATAAAGAAATCTGCGGAGAACCATATTCGTCTATGCTCTGAAAGGACATGGAATTGGCAACTCACATAATAATAAAGAAAAAGAATTTGTTGGGGGGTCAGGATCGCCCCTGACCTAAAGAAACATGACCTTGAAAATTAATAGGTAGTAAGTGCTTTAGTTCTCACGACAGTTTTTTTTTTTTTCAATAGCATCGCGCGCTGGATCGTTTCCCAAGAGCATCGTGAGAAAAGCAAACTTTCTAACCACTCAGCCACTTGTTTTATACTCTCGTTGTATCAACAAAATGAACAGCATGTATAGAAGATTTTACACGAAAATCTGCGAGGATTAACAGGCGTGTATTAGGGTGTAATTCATGAATGACTGTAGCTTTCTTTTATCTGCGCAAAAAGTAGATTTGGCGAACCGTATTCAAATACTGGACTAGTTTCTTGTAACCATTTTAACAATAATGCCCTTGAATCGATCTCTTATCCATCAATCTATGGGTTAAACAGTATGATAGACTGATCACTAAACTTAGGTGGCAACTAGTCTAAGAGAAGGAAAAATCTGAAGAAAGCAACGGGGAACTGCTACACTCTGTTTCCCATAAAGGATGCCAATTCTCAGGTAATAAAGAGATTTTTGAAGAGTCATGATCGCCTATGTTCTAAAGAGACATAGTGTTGATAATTCATAGATAATAAAGAAAAAGAATCTGGGGAGGACCATGGTCGTATATGTCCTAAAGACACAGTGTTGACAATTGATAGGTAATAACAAAAAGGAATCTGTGGAGGACCATGATCGTATATGTCCTAAAGAGACATGGCATTGGCAATTTACAGATAATAAAGAAATCTGTGGAGAATCATATTCGCCTACGCCCTGAAGGGACATGGAATTTGCAGTTCACATAATAATAAAGAAAAGGAATCTGTGGGGGCGGGGGTCATGGTCGCCTCTGACCTAAAGAAACATGGACTTGAAAATTAATAGGTAGTAAGTGCTTTAGTTTACACGACCGTCACATTCAACGAATACTTCATAAATAATGCCCTATTCCATTTTGATCGCTTGGAAAGACAAAAGACGTATCAGAGACACTACTTGGTTTCAGTGAAGAAAGAAAGAAAGAAAGAATCGAAAAGAATCGAAAAGAAAGAAAGAATCGAAAAGAAAGAAAGAAAGAATCGAAAAGAAAGAAAGAAATAAAGAATCGAAAAGAAAGGAAGAATCGAAAAGAAAGAAAGAATCGAAAAGAAAGAAAGAATCGAAAAGAAAGAATCGAAAAGAATCGAAAAGAAAGAAAGAATCGAAAAGAAAGAAAGAAAGAATCGAAAAGAAAGAAAGAATCGAAAAGAAAGAAAGAAAGAAAGAAAGAATCGAAAAGAACGAAAGAATCGAAAAGAAAGAAAAAGAGTGTGTTTAACATCTTCTGTTAATACTTCATATATAATGGACTATTTAGTTTTCATTGCGTGGAAAGACAAGAAAAATAAGACATACCAAAGAGCTACTTGGTTTCAGTGAGAAAAGAAGCGAAGATAGAAGGGTTTAACGTCAGTTTTAGTAAAATGGAAAAAAAAAAATGTCAATGTCAAATCTTTTCATTTGTACCCCCTTACTTCTTACAATAATGACCAGCATTCATATTTATTGTTGTTATTGCAATACTTTTTTTTTTAAGTTGTTAAACTCAAATATTTAATGAAGCGATGGGGGATTTTCTGCGGATATTGTATTGCCGTATAACACGCCATGAGCTTCTAAATCATTAACTGAAGAATTAAGATCCATCAGAAATTTCCAAGTAGAAAACCGTGAAATTTTCACTGATTAAAAAAAGTTAAAAAATAAGTAGTGTATAAAATGACAGACTTCAGGCGGAGATGTTAGGAATTGAAATAGATTTTAGAAGGAACTGGAAACCAAACCCTGAAGATGAAACAATGGACGAACCTTTACTCCTGTTCAAAAGACCAGTTAGGGTGTGTATATACTGGGTGCGATGGATGAATTGTCATCTAAATTGCACAAGATTGAAAATAATAATGATTGGAGTCTAGTCATTGGATCTTAGAAAACGCCGAATGCGTCATCGGCAGATGGGATAAGTGTCCCGAAGAATCCCCAAAAGAGTCCCCCTATCAAGGAAATGATTTCAAACTTAAATATAAACGACTAAAAATGACTTATCATCGAATCAAATAAATGCTCTATATATATATATATATATATATATATATATATATATATATATATATATAACTAGTCGAGGAATCTAAATGAAATAATAATAAAACGAAGGAATGTTAATATACAACCCAGTGTGTCTAAAGATTTTAATTTCTTAATATTTTTATTTTTTCAATATATATATATATATATATATATATATATATATATATATTATAAAATGGACAAAGTCCGACAATTATTTTAAGACATTTTTATGTTTTATACATTCTTTTTTAGATATTTTTAAATATTTGTATGTATAAAAAAATGTATAAACATAAAAATGTCTTAATATATATATATATATATATATATATATATATATATATACACACACACACACACACACACACACACACCGGGTGCGATGGATAAATTGTTGTTTACATTACGCGAAAATGGAAATAACACTGACATCTCATTTTAACAGATATATTTACCAAAATTATACAAAAATATCTTGAAATGCAAAAGAACAAATTTATTAAGAAAAAACGCCACAGGCTTCAACCATGGCTTCCTGGCGACTTCGGCATCTCCTGCAACTCTTCTGGACGGTCTTTTTGTTTAGGTTGGTGAATTCTGCCATAGGCCTTGCCTTCATTTCATCTTTGTTGTTTCAAGAAGTTTTGTTGGTTTCTCATTTAACTGCGCACCACATATAATAATCCGAAAGGTTGCAGTCTGAGGAGTTAGGTGGCCAGATTTAAGGGATGATGTGATCAAAGAAATTGTCTGACAGTTATAACTCGGTTCTCCTGCTTGTGTTGTCTGGTGCAGCGTCCTGTAGCCAGATATAGGGTCTTCCAGCAGTCATTCTCTTGACCCAGAGCAGCACTACCACCTCAAGAAACTTGATGTAGGCCTCCCTGTTGAGTATGAGACCCTCACCAACAAATTCGGGTGTTCTTTTCTTCTCAGAACGATCAGAGTGGGTTTTCCCAGCTGCCGTACCTTCGTACTCACCATTAGACTCATCCAAATCTTTCCGCATCCTTTTCACTGCCGTCTGATTGACACCCAAACACTTTGAGATATTCGTATTAGAACTTCGAGTGCCAATGTCAAGCAGTACACCATGCCATTTTCAAATTTCCAGCGCGGTGAATTGCGTCATGGTGCCCTTTTTCTCACAGATGGTGGCCAACTGACCCTACTATACTGTGGTGTCTATAAAATAACTTATACATATATATATATATATATATGTGTGTGTGTGTGTGTGTGTGTGTGTGTGTGCGTGCGTGCGTGCGTGTGTGTGTGTGCATATATGTATGTATGTATGTATATGTTTGGTTGAATAATCTGGATACATCATGTCTGTTTATTTTTATTTTAACCCTCTCGAATTCTCGGATCAACTGCTAAATGTTGATATTAAAATTATTAAGGAAGGCACCGTAGTTTGTTTTTTTTTTTTTTTCATTTCTTTTATTTTCGCAAATAATTTCAATCTCATCCAAGATCATCTTCAGGGGTGAATTGATAAGACAAAAAATTAATCTAACTGATAGCTGCGAATTATTTTGTAAATGCGCATGAAACGCTCCCTGTTATAATTGTAAACACGTATAAACGTACTCCGTTATAATTAATTTAAAAGTTAACAGTTAAATCTATTATGTTTTTTTTTTTTTAATCTTTTATTTAAGGAAGGAAACTTTAATTTATATAATTTTAATGTGTTTATAATTACAATTTAATTATTTTAAAAACATTGCTATTATAGACATTTTGGGACATTGTTGCTATACCCATAAGTAATTTATTTAGTGTCGTTGATATTTTTCTTATATAGAATTTGAAGATTTTGGGTTTTTTTTTTATTTTCATGGTGGAGTATATTTGTATTGTCAATTAATATTTCTCTAAGTTTTAAATGTGGACAGGAATGTACTTGGGAAAATAAAAGACATGAAAAAAAAATCTACCGGGCCTTTCTTATAATATCAACATTAAAAGTTGATCCGATGATTCGAGAGGATTAAAATACAAATAAATAGACATCATTTGTTCAGATTATTCAACCAAATACGTCTTAATGAATATATGCTGCCTATATAATCGACTGGAACCTGAGATGAGTACACGGGAAACACAGCCAAGACGTACTTGTAATAATAACTAAAAATACATCCAACGTACTTCAGTTTATA